AGTACCCGGTCCTCCCATATCACCTGCTTCAGGCCCTCCTCCCACCCATCGGCCTCTGCCGACCGCCGCGCTCACCTGAATCGGATCACTCCCACACGCGCGCTTCTGACTCTGGGCGCACTCAGTGTTAGCCTGAAACGAGAATCATTCCCCGGACGCACTGAATCAGCCACACCGCCCTTAGCAACCCACGTTCCCAGCTCCCGCGAGACCTGTCATGATGCGCATGCGCAAAACAGGGCCCTAAAACCCGACGCGAAGACCGGCCGGCTGACGCGTCAGCGTCTAGCGGAAGTCTCGCGGTGTTTGCATTTGAAGCGTTTGGCGGGTGGCGGATATGGCGGCGTCACCCCCGAGACTCAAGAATCGACTCGTAAGAACGTATGGGGCTGTGGGCGGCTGGGGACCGCGGGGGCGGCCGGTCCGGGCGGTCGCGCAGTGGTTCCCGCCGCAAAATCCGAAGCGTTTCTTCAGCAGCAGCAGTAGCAGCAACGTCAGCAGTGACGACCCCTCGCAGTCTGTCGCTTCGGACGATTCTGACGACCCTGATTTCTCCCAGAGCCCGGTGGGTCAGCGGCGGAGGCGCGCTGGCGGTCGAATCTCCAAGGACCGGCCCAGCCCGATCGTGACCCCAAGACGCCTGAGGCTACGAGCTCGGCCCCCGCAGAAGTGCAGCACTCCCCGCAGCGCACTCCTACCGCCGCCCCTCCCCAGCAGCAAACCAGGCCGCCTCGGCCCGGACCTCACTGTGTGCAACCAGCCCGGGGACAGTGGCGAGCTGGGCACCAGTGCCTCTCTGTGCAGCTCTCCGGCCTCTCCCAGCCCCGGCCCTGGGTCTCCAGAGCTGGGAGACAGTGTCATCTGTATCGACCCCTCCGCCTCTCTGAATGCAGCCTCTGAAGTTCCCAGCGACTTCCACCTGCCAGCAGCCTCTCTGGACCAAGCACCTGACTCCTGCTCCCAGGAGACAGCAACAGGAGGAGGCCGGATCCCCAGATTGGCTCACCAAGCCCGTACCCGCCTCAGGTCAGCTCTCTTTAGTCTTATGGACTCAGGAAACCCTGAGGATTCGGAGTTTGGGGCAGATGGGAAGAATATGAGGGAGTCCTGCTGTGAAAGGGAGTCGGCGGGAAAGAGGCTGGAGAACCCAGGTTTATCAAGCATCCATAAGAAAAGGGCCACAGAGCAGGGCTCTTATCAAGAGACTGGGGCTCAAGGGGCTGTCCAGACAGAAGAGGCCAGTGGTTGCAAGAGCTGTAATGCAGCTGAGGAAATCAACAGACCTGAGAGAACTGGGTCAAGCCAGAAAAGGAAACATCAGGAGGCAGTAGAAACCTCCCTCCTCTGTTACCACCGGTTTAAAAAGGGCCAAAAGATGGAACAAGATTCATTCCTCACCCAGGACCTGACTCATGGACAGAGTGACTGCTCTTGGACCAAAGGCAGGGCTTCTTTCAGTTTCCACAAGAAGAAGATCGTGACTACTGTGTCAGAAGTGTGCAGCAGCTACACCGTTGCCAGCTCTCTCTCTGAGTCCCTCCTATCAGAATATTCAAACGCTTCTGTCATGAACAGAACAAACAGTGCTCTGTCGCCTGGGCACTCCTCGTCCATGTACTTGCTAACCCCCTTAAAGACAATACATGTTGCAGACAAGAAGGCATCTGATGCTGAAAAGGTGTATAAGGAATGTAACCAGGAGGGTCCTGTCCCCTTTAGCTCTTGCCTTTCCACGGAAAAACTGGAATGCTGTGAGAAGATTGGGGAAGGGGTGTTTGGCGAAGTGTTTCAAACAATTGCTAATCATACACCTGTAGCCCTAAAAATCATTGCTGTTGAAGGACCTGATTTAGTCAATGGATCCCATCAGAAAACTTTTGAGGAAATCCTGCCAGAGATCATCATCTCCAAAGAGTTGAGCCTCTTGTCTGATGAGGTATGCAACCGCACAGAAGGCTTTATTGGGCTGAACTCAGTGCACTGTGTTCAAGGATCTTACCCTCCCTTGCTTCTCAGAGCCTGGGATCACTATAACTCAACCAGAGGGTCTGCAAATGACCGGCCTGACTTTTTTGAGGAAGACCAGCTCTTCATTGTGATGGAATTTGAGTTTGGAGGGACTGACTTAGAGCAAATGAGAAAGCAGTTGTCCTCCATAGCTACTGCAAAGAGCATTTTGCACCAGATCACTGCATCCCTTGCCGTGGCAGAGGCATCCCTGCACTTTGAGCACCGAGACTTACACTGGGGGAACGTGCTCTTAAAGAAAACCAGCCTCAAGGAACTCCACTACACTCTCAACGGGAAGACAAGCACTATCCCCACCCGTGGGCTGCAAGTCAACATCATTGACTACACCCTGTCACGCTTGGAGCGGGATGGGATCCTGGTTTTCTGTGACATTTCCATGGATGAGGACCTATTTACAGGTGAAGGTGACTACCAGTTTGAGATCTACAGGCTCATGAGGAAGGAGAACAACAACTGCTGGGGTGAATATCACCCTTATACTAATGTGCTCTGGCTACATTACCTCACAGATAAGATTCTGAAAGAAATGACCTTCAAGTCTAAATGTAACACCCCTGCCATGAAACAAATGAAGAGAAAGATCCTGAATTTCCACAGGACAATGCTGAACTTCAGTTCTGCCACTGATCTGCTCTGCCAACACAGTCTATTTCAGTAAGTCAAAGATGCCTCCCCCGCCCCGCCCCACCATGATGTTTTCAATCTCTAACCCTAGACAGGGTGGAATTCCCATTCTTTCCTTTTTCCAATCTGCTTTCCAACAAGAATTTTGTTTCCAAGTGGAAACCAAAATGTTTGTGGAAATGTTTAAACAATAAATGTTCTTAAAAAATAAGCTACGCATAAGAACAAGTGTTTACAACTTATAAGCCCTCTTTCTGTCAGCAGAGTCCATTCTGTAAGTTTCCGTATTTCTATTTTTGAGCCTTGACACTTTTTATCGCCTGAGCAAAAAAAAAAAAAAAAAAGAATTCAGGAAAGCCCAAAGCCTGTTGCTGTAGGTATCATAGGCTGGCTTTGGAAGCCATACTACAGATGAGTCAATGGAGCAAAGAGACTGTAGCAAAGCAGAGACCAAGACAGACCGGAGTGAGAGAGGAAAGGAAGATGGTAGACAATTTGTAGGGAGACATGCAAGAAATGCCACATATTTATCAAGCTCATTTTCCAATTACAAAGAAGAATTTATCAATTTTCAACCGGAAAATAAATGTCTCCATGGCTACTGAAAAGGTTTGAATTTTTGCTTATTTTTTTGTCAAGGGAGGAAAACTGAAATGTTGCTTTAAGAGCTGGGTGATTGATATTCCTTCTGAACATGACTTTGGTAGTTTACTTCTAATGTGTTCCCAGGTTAACTAATCTTGTTTTCACTCCTTTTCTAGAACTCTAGTTTTTATACCTTTTGAGAATCTATAGTCACTCTGGAAAGAGATGTAATCGTGATAGCGTAAACAACCACCTCTAAGTACCTGCTTCTTTGTCAGGTTCTTCACTCTTATAAGCTGGAAACCTTGTAATTTGATTGGAACACAGATTTCCAGCTGGAATTTGGCTTCAAAAAGATTTTCCCCATGTATCTGCAAAATAAAATCAGAGTGGAAGTCAAAGTTGGTGTTGCTTTGCTACCTGCAGCTTTGCAGTGATAAGTACAAAGCACTTACATTGAAGAGGAATTCTTTGTGGTCAGAAAGTCCCTGGCTTGTGTTCATGTACATCACTGATGGTCTGCAATTGAAAGGGCATGTGTTAGGCCTCAAGACCCCCTTCTTGTTTTAAATGAACCTGAATGCTACCTGCTGGATACACTAGGACAGAGGGTGTCAGATCCTAAGAGGAATCAAAGCTAAATATCAAAATGTAAAGTGGTGGTAGGGCAGTTGGGATCAGGTAGAATATTTGAATTCTGCATATTTGGGTTGGTTCTATGTCTAATTATCATTTTTCAGAGTGGCCTTACTTTTTCCCTTCCTTCCTTCCCAATCCCACAGCCCCTGTCTTCTTCCCTCCTTAGCCTCATATCATGACAGTCCCCTTTTGTAGCAAGACCAGTTGGCACTGCTCCTCCTTTGATAACTACCATGGGGTTTCCAGGACCCAACTATTAGTGCCTTAGAGATCAGTGGGAGTCTGGGTTCAAAGCAGCCTTCTCTCAAAGGAAGGCAATGCTCATGTGTAGTCTAACCACCAGTTCCGTGCACAAGAGCGAATGCATAAAGCTGTCCCGCAGCTGTCGGCCCCTTGGAAGTACTTACTTGGGAAGAACTGCAATGAAGGCATGCCTGATGTGAAGGCTGTGGGTCTTTCTGTCCAAAGACCTTATTTTGTTGGAACTAGGAAATAAGAGTGTCAGTTCACAGCATACCTGCTTTGTACATACGGCTGTTTCTGCACTTTGGCATCCCAGGGTCATCAGTGGTTAAATAAGAAAAGACTCTTGGAGATAAGCAGAGTGCAGAAGACTTGCTAGAAAACCATACTTGGAGAAATACTGATTTAAAAAGGGTTTCTCAACCTCAACAGTATTGACATGTTGGGCCAGATAATTCTCTGTGAGGCTGTCCTGTATATTAAGATGTTTAGCAGCATCTACCCACGAGATGCCAGTAGCACCCCCCAAGTTGTGGCCATCAAGAGTGGCTCCAGGTATTGTCGCTAGGGGGCAGAATCACCCCATTTGAGAATCCTTTCCCCACACCATACCCCACCCTACCCCCAAACATAGAGGTTTTGCAGATGACAGAGCTTCTCCAGAGTTAAACAAACCAGAATCAGAACCCCATTCTAATTAGAACTCCAGGCTCATCCGACCAGACTGTATACCATAATTTTACTTTGTGTATCAATAAAAGAATGTTTGAAATATCTTTGATAACAAGAAGGGAAAGCCAAGCCACTGCAGGGACACAGGTACCTTCTCTGGGCTCACAGAGATTCTCTTCTTCCTGGGCAGTGAGGGAGCCGCAGCTCTGAGGCATGCACACGGGAGGGAGAGTTTTCCCAGGGCCATACCCCGGGCCTGCTGTGACACAGGCACGACTTACTTTACGACCATCACAGTCACGTTGGCTGTCCTGTTGGCTGTCCTGTTTGAAAAGGCACTCTCCTCTAGCTGCCAAACTACAGAAAAGTTTGCCTATTTAAAAAAACAAAACAAAACAAAAACCAGGTCACTGATTCTTTTCTACACCACTCACAATTCAAACTGCTTCCTACTAACTAAACAGACCCGGGAAACATATTCATATTCCTCACATTTTTGTATCCTAGCATGCTTCCACATCTGTTATTCCATGTGTAAGCCTCTTTCTTATTCCCCTTTCACAACTGAGGAAACCATTTCAGAGGTTTCCCACAGCAGAGCTCACCAGTGGCATGTCAGGGACTCACCTCAGGACTAATAACTGGGTCTGGTGCTCCGTCCATAGCACCCCAACTTCTCTCTGCTGTACTGTAGTGAGCCAACAGTTTGTCTGTGGCTGTATCCCCCACCCCACCACTCCCTGCTTTCAAAGCAAACTTGGCAATTCTAAGCACTGCTGTGGATCCGACTGTACAGTAAATGGAAGCATGAAGATCGCAACTGAGAGATTCCAGTGAGACTGGGAAGTGGAAGACACCAACTGAGGGTCGTGAGAAGAGTCAGCCAATCAAAACAGACTCACAGATGACCTCTTGAGTATGGGGTGACCAATCTTGCAGTTCATGACCATGTCAGAAGCATCTGGCTTAGGGTCATCACACTGAATGTTTGGAGAAGGAGGCTGTTAACAGAAAAAGACTGTTCTTAAAAGAAAAAAATGGTGCAGTTTCCTCATACCAGGTCAGCAACATTTGCTGACTTTCCCACATGCCCGACACCCTGCCAGGCACTGGGGACACAAATACATCAGACTTGGTTCCTGTCTTCCTCACCAGCTGGGCAGGCGTGCTCATAATAGATGGTTGAGGAATTCAAATACAAAGCCTAAGGCCTACGGAGTGGTTCCGTGAGAGGCACAGAGAAAAGCAGTACAGAAAGATGAATTCCAACTCGGAGGAATCTGACAGTCTTCACTGGGGAGGAGACATTTGAACTGGGCCACAGACAAGGCACATTTAACATACGGAGGTGGGCCAAAGGCCAGCAGGAGCCTCCAGCACCCCGTGTAGCCTTTGCCAGTCATGGCTCCACATGTGGACCACGGAGGACAGCAAACGGTTTGACTGACGGCTGTTTTCTTGATTCTCCCAAGGAGGGCGCATCACTAGTTCCATTCTGGACGCCAGGAGATCATTTTATTCTCACCTAATGGATGCTGCCTTAGCCCAAAGACCTAGCCTAAGGCTACCAGGGACAAACCAGTAGTTTGAGGTTTATTAACTCATTACAGTGAGGAAAACTGCATTGTGGTGTGTCTCACCAAACAGGAAAAGACGGTTATTAAAGGATCCTGGGAAAGGCTGGTCTTCAGGTGAAATGTAAATGAAGCAGAGTTTTGATGGGCTCAAAACAAAGCAGGGCTGTGTGTAGAAGGGTCACTGGGCATCCAGTTGGACTCCAGAGTGGGCCCCAGGACCCATTTCCTTGGAAACTATTAAGATGTGAGAAGTTTTGTCCGGAAATGCTTTATGTGAAGCTTTGTACCTCAGGTGGAAATAGACCTGCTTTTCTTTGTCAAAGTGACTTAAATTCTCCAGGCGAGAGTCAGATGGTTTTATAATTACAGCTATAACTTCAAGCAGCAAACATGCATTGCCAGTGATTTTAGAGAACACAATTTTTCAGTGTTATGATACTTTACAGCGGCAGGGTGTCCTTGGGGAAAATACTGTTTCCTAGTATCTTGCAGCTGACTTTGGGTTTGTGATCCCAGGCTGACGAATGGCAGGGCTGGCTTTTACTTTCCTAGTCCAAGCTAATTTATTAGAGATTATTTCTCTCTTGGAACCTGGGTTAAGAAAGGCTGCTGGCAGGGAGGAGTGATTGCACAGCAAAACGGCACCATTGAAGGTTTGTGAGGCAGAGAATGGCGTGGTTGGATCTATAGCATATAGTTGGATTGGAGAGAATTCATCTAGTTAATAATCATTTATTAGATGGACCAGGATGAGGCTGGAGGCAGAGTTAGGGGGTTGCCATAAGAAAGGGCAGGTATGCAGGGAGGAAAACCCATGAGTGGCATGTTTCCAAAACTGCTGTCATAATTACCTTTTGTATCCTCTTAAAGTGCAAGTTTCTGGGGTAATGCAAAACCATGCTTGTCATGTAGGAATCTTCCCCAGAGTTAGTTAGGCTGATGTTCATGTTCAGCTCCTTTGTGACACCCAGCACCAATTCCTGCCTGCACAGGGAAGGCAAATAGATAAGTGTTATCCGTTTATTTATTCTGTAACAACCTGGGTGCAATGCAATAGCATATTTTTAACTAACTTCTCAATAAAGTGCCTAAAGGATACATGTAGCCTAGATTTTCTTCCCTTCAACATAAGCAGCCACCTGGACTGCAATACCCACCTCAGTTGCTGTGTGAGACAGTAATAACAGCTACCATTTATTTAGAACTTACCACGTACCAGGGACAGTGCTAAATGCTTCACATGCTCAATTTATCCTCATAATAACCCTATGAACTAGGACGGTTACTCTCCATTTCATAGAGAAGGAAACAAGCCAAGAGAGGCTAATTTACCTGAGGTCTACCAGCCTCAAAAGGCAATTGGGAGAGTTGGATCTAAATCCCCTTTCTACCACCAATTCACTGTGACCCTAGGCAAGGCACTGCATTACACAAATGCATCCACTTCACATATATTTATGGTACACCTTCTCTGTTCCAGATACCCTGCTCAACACGAGAAACAGCAGTGCACGAGACAGACTCTGCCCCTGCCCCTTCCTTGGCCTCACCTTTCCCACCCACGAAATCATTCAGGCCCTTCCAAGTTAAGGGCTGTGGTTTAAAACATGAGTCTGTTGAGCCTGGAGAAGAGAAGACCTGGGGATTTGCAAGAGCTTCCTTCAGTCCGCTGAGGTACTGTGGGCCCCAGAGCGCAGAACCACTATCAGTAATTGAGATCTACAGGAAAACATATTAACAGTACAAAGAGAACTTTCTAACCACCTGACATGTTCAAAGATGGAACATGTAGCTCTGGGAAGTGACGTGTTTTGTTGTTATTGTTTTTATCACAGCTGAGAAGAGGTTAGATGGATTGGAGGGAGAGATGGGGCAGAGATAGTTAGAGCCTACTGTGGAGATCCGTCTGAGAGGTGACACATGCCTGAAATAAGACCATACTGGTAGGGATGGAGAGAAGGGCTAGAAAGCAAAAATGGGCAGGCCATCCTTGCAAGCAGAGCCAGCAGGAGAGAGGACTCAAAGATGAGTCCCACGTTTACAGCCTAGATGACCAAGGGCTGCTATTCAGGAGGGAGAGAACCAGGAGGAAGACCCGAGGGTGGGAGCTGAGCAGAGTTCAGGTTGGGACACGATGAGAGGCGCCTATAGGATAACAAGGCAGAGATGTTGGAATGTCAGTAGGCTATCCTGTTCTAGAGCCCAGGAGAGGGGTCTGAGTCGTCCCAGGATTGAACAGTTCTTAACCTGAGGGCCAGGGGCGGTTTCAGAGGCCCCGAATGCAAACACTGACGTATGCACATGTGATCTTCTAGGGAGAAGGGTCTGTCGTTTTCCTTCGATTCTTGAGATCTATGTCCACAAAAGGGTCAGAAACCACTGAGACATTTGGGTGCTAATGATTCGGCTCAATACTTTTGAAAATAGGCGCGACTGCTTGCTGTGTACACTAGGGGGTGACGTAGGGCCAGCTATGTGTGCTGTACGCATCCGGCAAATTCACAAGTTGGCTGAGAGGGTGGTTCTTGGCTTTATTTAACTCCCTGTGGGAAACAGCTGTGTATGCTTGTTAGGCTGGATTCCAAAGCACTTAAAAGTCTTGAAGTGGACCTTAGTGATTGAGATGGGCAGTGCTAAGCCATCAACATCTGACACACAAGTCCTGCAAGTGTCTGTGAGAGAGCTTACGAGGACTCTGGAGGCGTGTTCTTCCCACAGACACCAAGTCCAGCCAACAGGCCGTCAGCACCGTTACACACACAGCGCCAGCAGCCAGGTGGGGCAGTTTTAGATCACCACACGTCCAAAACCAAACTCACCAGCTCTCCCTCCTCACCCTGCCTTCCAAAACCATTCTTCCAAAGGCTTCCTCAGTTCAGCTCTTGGCATCACCGTCATTCTAGAATTCAGTGATGGCCGACAGAACTTTTGCAGTAATGGGAATGGTCTGTATCTGTGCTGTTCAATATCATTAGCCACACGTGTGTACTGAGCACTTGAAATGTGCACAGTACAACAAAGGAACTAACATTTTAATTTTATTTACTTTTAATTCATTGAAATTGAAATAGCCAAATGTGATGAGCGGCTACCGTACTGGACAGCACAGTTCTAAATGCTCAGGCTGAAACCTTGAAAGACGTCTTAGACCAGTGGTTCTCAACCTGTGGGTCACAACCCCTTTGGGGGTCGAACGACCCTTTCATAGGGGTCGCCTAAGACCATCGGAAAACAAAAAGATACTTACATTACGATTCATAACAGTAGCAAAATTACAATTATAGAGTAGCAACGAAAATAATTTTATGGTTGGGGGTCACCACCACATGAGGAACAGTATTAAGGGGTTGCGGCATTAGGAAGGTTGAGAACCGCTGTCTTAGACCTTTCTTTCTCTCACTCCCCACATCCAATCTGTCATCCACTCCTATGGGCTCTAACTTCAAAATATAACTAACCACCTTTCTTGCTACCACTCTGGCCCAAGTCCCCAGCACTTCTCACCTGAGTTATTATAACAGCTCCTTCCTACCTCCTTACTCCCACTTTTGCTCCTACAGTCTATTCTCAACACAGCAGCAAGAATGATCCTGTTAAAATGCAAAATCATGTCATTCCCCTGGCTTCCCAGCTCACAGGAAAAGCCCCTGTGGAGGGCCTGGGCAGCCCCTTAGGACCTCCCCCTCCCCCGACACCACCTGTCCCTCCCTCATTCTACTGCAGCTACACTGGTGTCCTGGCTCCCCGCTGCCTCCAGGCCAGCTCCCATCCCAGGGCATTTGCAGTTGAGCCTCCTTCACACACCCACCTAGTCCAGTCCTTGACCTCCTCCTGCGTGTACCAAGCTGTCCCTTTCTCACTGAGCCCTTTCCTGGCCACTCCGTTTAAAACTGCAACCCCACCTCCACCCAGCACTCCCTCCCACCTTCCCTGCCTTATCTTCCTTCATAGTACATCTCATCAACATAAAATTTAACTTCTTTATTATCTTCTCCCCCTAAAAGCATCAGGAGGGCAGGGCTTTTGGTCTGCGTTGTTCAATGATGTGTCTCCAGCCCCAAGAGTGCTTGGCACAGAGCCGATACTCCATAAACAGTTAACGAATTAAGTGATTTGGTTAAGAGGTGAATTAGGGAAGAGGTTACCTCTAACTGATGTGGTCCCAGGAGTGAGAGGCACTGGGTTATGAAAATAGCATTGCCCCGGACATCAAGAGACTGGGTTCAAGTCCACCAGATGAACCCACACAGGCTCTCCACTACTGAGTTTGTTCTCTAATCTATAAAATGGGAAAACAAATCTGTCTTGCCTCCCTTATGGTGTGGCTGAGGAAGCAGTGGGGTCCTAAATGCAGAAGCCCTTTGTGGGCCCCAAGGGGAGCGGGGAGGAAGTAAGCAGTCGATGCTGAGGCGGGCTTTGCCCAGGTAACCCTTCAGGAGGAAGTTAGCTGCAGAAACTAGGACGACTGGATCCAACTTACTGAGAGGTGGCGATGGCCAGCTGTAACTCTGCAACACAAAACAGCTTATTCTTGCAGTCCTTCTCGTAGGGTAGCTGTAAGCAGACAGAGAGGGGCTGGCTCAGCCCAGGGACCCCACCACCCCGGCAGCCTTGCCTCATGGTCTCCTTAGGACACAACTGTCCCTCCTGCTGACTCTGAGAAGTGCAGTTACGTGGAGGTGAAAGCTGACAGGCTGATGTCGTGTCCACGTGGCCAAGAGAGCTGTGACTGACATTTCCTGATCTGTCAGGGCTAAGGGGCGACAGTCAGGGAAAAGGTGGCAGTCTGTCAGGTAGGGGGTGTGTTTGTCCTACAACACAGGTGTACCATAAGGCAGGCCTCTGCCCAAGGTAAAAAATGGGGTAACCTTTGTGGAATTGTGGGAGTGCCTGTCACTAGCGCCAATTAAGCAGCAATACTCCCAATGTACTACTTTGAACATTTTGGGGAGAAAAACCTATGTGAAGAAAAGCTTCCTTATCCTTTCAAGTAGAGGCAGGAATAGCAGGGGCACTAATGGGGGATACCTAACAAAATATTGTCAAGATCCAGTTCTGCGAAGTCTTCTATCCCCACGGCTGTCTTCTGTAGGTTAACTATTCCCCTTGCAATTTTGCCTACATGAAAACAAACTAATTCAGAAAGTCGCATTGGGGCCACAGGCCCAGTCAAGGTTGAAAAGCCCTAGTTCAGGTTGAAAAATCAAAATTTCTAAAGAACCTGGGGTTTTTTTTTATTATTATTATGAAGGAAAACACAGCCTTAACTGGGAAATCTCTGCATTTGTCTCCCCAGCAGCCAGTGACCACCTCAGCAGCTGTATGCAAGGACTGTCACCATGGCCTGCAGCTGGAATGGGAGCCCAGAGAAGCCTTCTACTTCCTGGAGAAGTGAGATGCAGTTTGCAGAGCTCTATCTGAGTGGGTCAACATTTTGGGGCAGGTTTTGTTTGTTTTTTTTTAGTTTTGTTTTCAGTGTAGCCAAGTACCCTGTTCTTTTTCACCCACTCCCAGTGGGAGAGCAGGGTTAAACTCCCTTAAGCTCCCAGCTAGAACTCATTCTCCAGAAGCATCAATGTGCTTCAACTAACACCAAGTCACTTCTCAACCACTTTATCGTTGCAACTAAAGAATCTTCACCAAACCATCAAAGTGATAATTGATTTAGGTAGGAATCATGAATGGATGTTAAAAAGGATACATACATAATCTCAAGGCATCTCCCCACAAGATACTTATTAATTATAAAAGGAAATAGCACAGTAATGGAACAAAGCAACATGATGCGCTTGCATTCAGAAGGACACAACTTCCCTTCTGTGATATTCCTGCCCAGAATGCATAACCTGAATCTAATCATGAGGAAACATTAGACAAATTCATGGATAAGAACGTTCTACAGAATAACTGGCCTGTACCCTTCAAAGATGTTAAGGTCATTAAACAAACTGAGAAACTGTCCAGATTAAAGGAGACTGTCCAGATTAAAAAAGATAAATGATGACAAAATACACTCAATGATCCTGGACAATAAAATTTTTTTTCTTTTGCTATAAAGGACATTCATAGGATAACTGATAAAATTTAAATAAAGTTGTAGATAATAGTATTTTATCATTGTTCATTTCCTGATTTTGATCATTGTACTGTGGTTATATAAGAGACTGTCCTTGTTTTTTTAAAAAAAATATATGCTGAAGTTTTGGGGGGTAAAGAGGCATCATATCTATAACTTACTCTCAAACAGCTCAGAAATATAAATATGTGTATATGTGTGTAATATATATGTACATATGTATATGTACTGTCTACATAGAATGATAAAGCAATGTGGATGTTAAAGCAGTTGATAAAATGTGAAAATGTTAATATTTGGGAAATATGGATAAAGAATGCATGGGGATTCTTTGGACTATTATAACTTTTTAGTAAGCCAAATATTTCAAAATAAAGTTTTTAAAAACAGAATATATATAGTGATAATCTGCTTGTTGACAAAATTTTATTACATTGGTTCTCCCAGTCTTTTCTGAATCATCTAACTTGCTGTCAATATCAAAATTTAAAAAACTCTAAATATATTATTATACATTTAAAATAAAGTCTTTTGCCTAAAAAATTAAAATGACAACCTTTGTTCATAAGGAACCTGATTCTCCTTCTTCCTTGGCAGATGAGCAGTGAAACAATCACCCGATTATGTTGCTCTCTTATTTCTGTTTACTAGTGTGACTGATACATTGGGCATTGACCAAAAGTGGAGCTAAAGGCTTATGTCATTTAATAATATTTTGAGCATTTTGGTAAAAATATTGGACAGTTGGGAGTATCCACTGATTACCTGGAAATATACTTAGGTTACCTGAAGCTTTTCTGTGCCTGCATGAACTACTTTTGGCTTTTAATTTTATTTTTGGAGACTGAATTCATTCCTGCTGACTGTAATTATTATTCCTTAATGCTCGTGTTGTCACTTCTTTGATCTTGCTGATTTTTCTATACCCCGTAAGACTCTAAATGAAGACTAACAGAATATCCTAGGGGCTAGGGCTTGGGTGGGAACATAATCACCTTAGCTATCATAGAATCAGAAAATTTGACTGTTCTCCCTCTCTAATTTCCCTTAGTTGTGAGAAAAGTTTCTTGTGACCCTACTCACCTGTTAGGGTGCAAATATTGTGGGCCTGACATTCAGCTTCAAGGCCCTGGGCAGGAGCTGGGTAGACAGGTATGCAAAGAGCATCCTCTCTGCAGGGCAGGTCAGCCCCAGTCCAGTCCCCACACGGGACTCCCACCACACTCATCAGAGACCCTTGCCAAGTCGGGCAATGTAGTCATATGCTTCATTAAATATGTAGCAAGTACTTTCTCCAAACATAAAGGAACTAGCCTTGGGGCCTGGTTGGGAGACCTGGTTACCTACCAGTGAGGCCGTGGGCAAATTAATGCTCAGGAACTCAACTTCCCCCATTTGTGCGGTAAGGGGCCCAAATGCTGTCTGAAGACTCTCCGAACTCTTAAGATTCTTTGAAGTTAGGGGAACAGGTGCTTTTGGGGTGATGGCTCCCAGGAGGGTCTCGTCTTAGCTGTGGGTAGAATTACCTGGAAGATGGAATAGGGCTTATCGTAGAAGTCCAGGACAGGGTAGGCGTGGCCCCTCTGGCCCTTGGGGGTCTGGAGTTGGTAGCTGACGCTGACACTGATGTTGGAGAAGCAGTCCTCCTTACAGAGCTGCAGAGTCGCCGAGAAATGCAGAATTGGAGTTGGATGTGGGGGAGAAAATGACTAGGAGAGTATTTTTAACTTTGATATAGCCATAATATGAAAGAAACAATGAAAGTGGTGAGCCAGAAGTCCTAAGCCTCTTCCAAATAAACCAGGCTGAAGGGAAGCTTCCCCTCAACCTAGCTGCCAACAACGTTGGAAAAATCTCCCTTGATCCACTATGGCCTCACATCTCATAACCCCTATGGTTCCTGCCCCAATTCCAAAGAGATTCTGGCCGTCAGGAGTTAAAAGCCGGCCTGACTTTATTCGGAGAGCAAATAGGAGCCACGGAAGGGCAGAGTCATGGTCACATCTGTGTTTACAAAGATCATTCTCAAAGCAACATGGAGGACATTAGGTAAAAACCGAAGCTAAGGAGACTGCCTGGGATGCCATTTGCCACTCTCTTTGAGTGGGCCTTTCAGCGTGGTAGGAGCTCTGAACACATGAGAGTAGGTGAGCGTGATTCCCAGTGGAAAAGGTAGTTACGCTTTCATTTGGGGAAGCCGTAGACTGGCTAGAAACTTTCTTAATCCAATCAACAACCTGCACAGACGTGGGAACACGTGTAGTCAGAAGCATAATTTATAAGGTTATTGGAATAAATTACCCTTATAGGTCCAAAGTTCTGGGTCCTCTCAGGTCCTAAGTCCTGACGAATACATTTTTTTCATGTTTTGAGGCATCTTTGTCAGGAGTAAACCTTTGCAAACGATAACTTTTATCTTTCTATTTCTACTTTCATTCAGTTTTTCTGGTGATTTGCAGAAGGCCCTCAGCCCCACTGTTGTTATCAGGCAAAGTTAGGTGACATGGGGAGGGGAAGCGACCCTGTTATACCCGATTTGTTACCAAGAAACATGTCAGCAATTAGAGCATTTCCCTTTTTGTTCAGCTGCTAGGAAGCTCAGAGATATAGTTAGTGTTCAATTTCAGTAGGTTTCTTTAATTTGGATTTCTGGTATAATTAACTCCATCTCTCATACCATTATATGATCCTTGATCTATTATGATTATTTTAATTGCCTAGTTTGTATAAATGGATAGATGTCTTCATGGCACGCACCTCAATTATTTTCTCAACAACACCAATCCCTCTGGACTCTTCTAAACTCTTCACTTACCTCTCCCTCTGTGGGGATGAGCTGGAAGAGCTCACAGAGATGGGACCCACGGCTCAACTTCGGAAGGTTGCTCTGACAAGTTCTCTTGTTCAAACACTGCAGCCTTTTCTTCTCCTTCACCACATCCACGTCCAACGTGAAGTTCAGAGACATCTCTCTGAGGCCTGGGAGTGAAGAAGACCAGACCTTCCTGAGGAAGCTGGGGTGGGCCAGTCCCAGATACAGGGTCCCCGCCCTGCCTGAGAGTCTATTTTTTTTTTCAAGATTCTATTGGGGAACTGGGGGAGGGGAACAGCGCCAGGACACCCGGGAAAGACAAGTCGCTGTCCTCTCGTTCCTCGGTCCAGTTGTGGAGGATGTCACCCCACTGGCCCATGTTGGCACTGTGATCTCTGCACTCCTTCCTGGTTGAGGCAGTTGATCTCCAGCCACTGGACGGTCACCCGTTGTGGCCCACAGCAGCTCACGCTGGCCGCTGGCTGCCCATGGTTGCCCAGCTCTAGGTCAAGCCGCCAGTTCACCATCCCAGCTGCAGAGATTGCAGCACCACTGGCCCACATGGGATCCGAACCGGCAGCCCTGCTGCTCAGAGCCCGCGCTCCCAAGCCAACTCTCAACCAACGAGTTACTCGAGTGGCTCCTGAGATTCTTTACGAGCCCCTCCTGAGTGGCGCCACATGGGTCCTTCCCTGGGGCTGGACTTCTGAACTTCTTCACTTTGAAGGTACTTTTTTCATGGTCTCCTAGCCCTGGCTAGGGTCCCTCAGAACCCCAGTCCCAAACCCAGAGCAGCACATTCCCAGGGCTGCATCTGTCTTCCTTAGCGGAAGGAGGGCTCAGGGAGGAGGCTGGGATTGAGGGAGAAAAGAAGGAAGGGGAATAATACGGGGAATGGAGAGAGAAACCATAGAGTAAAACCTAAGGACAGCAGAACTGGAAGCACCTTATAGATCACTTGGGCCAACTCCCTTACTGTACAGAACAGAAACCAGGCCCCGGAGAGTAAAAGACACCAGCCTAGTGTCACACAGCCACTCAGCAGCAGCCCTTCAGGTTCTATGGCCTGACTCCTTCAGCCTACACAGTCAGAACAGATAGGCCTGTCACTTTCTACCCTCACTTTTGATAATGGCCTCCTTCTGCAGTAAAGCCACACCCCACCTTGGGGGTGTGCTTTCTGACCTGCGGGAATCAGAGAAACATCTGGGGGATTGTTACTGAGAGATTAAACCTTGTGCACTGTTCCTGATAGATTATCCTGGAAGAGAGCTCTTGGGTTGGCAGTAAGTACCTGGGCTGTGAAAGCCAGGCCCACCCTCTGCCTTCTGGAAACAGCCTCCCATTCAGTGCCAGGTAAGGGAATGGGAAGAGAGACCAGACCTCCAGGAGGTTACCCAATCCCACCTGGGCCAGGGAGATACAGTGAGGAGGAAAGGGGAGAAGACATAAATCAGAGTAAGAAAAAGCCCCTACACACGCACACGCATAGGCACAGGAGATGGATGGAGAAATGGCTGCCTTTTTCTGAGTCTTCTTTCAGAAACTCAACCCTTCAACCCCTCAGAGGGTCCAATGCCCCTTTTCCCAACAGGGCCAGGTAAACCCCTTCAGGGTCCAGAGTGCTAACCATTACACGATGGAACCCAGCTAAACCCCTTCAGAGTGTTGACTTAGCAGGTCACCTTTTCTAGGGCAGTTCACCTTAAACAGAGCCTAGTGTCAAAGGACCTAAGCTCCAAACAGAGAGATTTCAAACACCAGGACCTTACAACACACATACCCTCACCCCTATTCCCATCCTCTTTCCCTGCCCCCTACTGAAGCCAACAAGGAATGACCCCAACACTGGGCTGCCTGTTACCTGACTCGGCAGCTGTGGTCGCAGAGCTGATTTCAAAACACAGACGCACATCCACACTGCTGTTGAAGCCAATGGGCAGTGTCTTGGGGGTGAAGGTCATGGACACCTTTAGGCGAACCACAGGTCGTGAGCTACACAAGAAAACGAAGAGGACCATGAGAAGTGACTATGGGACTTCTAGATCTGTGCTTGGCTCATTCATTCATTCAGTGAGGATTTATTGAATATCTCTAATGTGCCAACTGCTATTCTGAGCCTTTAGAATACAATAGGGAGACAAGTTCCTGCTCTAGCGGAGAAAGAGACAACAAGCAAATAAACAAGAAGAAAGGGGGAAATACTATGAACAGGTGATGCTATGATAAAAATAAAATAGGATAAGGTCATAGAGACTGGGGGCTACTTAGGCTGGGTGGTCAGGGAGGGCCTTACTAATGAAGAGACAATTTAAGTTGAGATCTGCTGACAAGAAAGAGCCAGCTATGTGAAGACCTAGAGGAACTGCATTCCAGGCAGAAGGCATAGCTCACGCAAAGGGCCTGTGGTAGGAATGAGTTTGGTTTGTTTGAGGAACACAAAGGTCAGCATGACTGGAGCACAGTCAGTGAGACAGAGGGTAGTAACAGGAGATGCGGAGGCAGGGGTGGGCAGGGCCAGGCCATGGAGAGCTTCATAGACCATGGTAAGGAATTTGGATTTTACCCTAAGTGGAAGCCATTGAAGAGATTTAAGCAGCAGAATGAAGGGATCCCTCTGGCTGCTGTGTGGAGAATGAAGCACGGGGTGGAAGCAGGGAAGACTGCCATGGCAGTGATCCAGGTGAGAGAGGACAGTGTCTTGTACAGGGAGGGATTTTAGAGGCAAAGGCAGCAAAAACGTGTTGGGGGCGGGGAGGTTGGGGCAGAGGAAGGAAAGGAGCTATTGAAGGTGATTCCTGTGTTTTTTGTCCTGAACAAATGGTGTCATGTGCTGAGCTGCGAAGCCTTGGGAGGAGCCGGCTGGGGGACAAGGAGGGGTAGGTGAGAATAAGAGGTTCATTTTTAGACATGTTGACTTTTGAGAGGCCTGGGGGCAACAGCCAAGAGGGCTACAGACTTGACAGCCAAGTCTAGGGCTCAGTGGAGAGCACAGGGCAGACAGGTGCTCCTTCAGCTTATTTATAGCCACGGAACTTGATCGTTCACTTAGGGAACAGCACAGGGGCTCTGAAATGCATCACTGGGCACTATGGGGCACTACGCTAAATACTTCGCATAGATTCTCTCAATTCATCCTCATAACTCTGAGGTAGGCACTATTATTATTCCCATTAATAGAAGAAAAAATTGGGACTTAGCATTCAATAACTTGCCCAAGCTCACGCTGTTAAGGGAGAGCTGAGGGTCAAACCCAAGCGGGCAGACTCCAGAGCTGGTGCCCCGAACCACCACACTGATTCCCTCCCATCAGTGCCTGGTGTCGCCAAGGGGCCACGTAAGACAGGGCAAGTGGGTGAGGCCGGGGCCTGGGACATCAGAAGGCAGGGCAGACCCTTACCGGAGCACCGCCGCCTGGCCCAGAGTGCCCACGGTGATGTCAGCAAGGCCGTCACCACTGAAATCTAAGCCACCATCCACCGACATGCCGAAGTAGCGAAGCCCTGAAGCCACCTTTGAGGCCCTGATCCACTGTGAAGGGAGAAACACAAGGCGTGGGAGAGGGAAAGGGAGAGGGGAGTGCTTTTGGTTTGATTCAAATCAACAATGTCAGCTTCGGTCCCCACCCCAGGGAGCCCTCGATTTAGAAACCGGAAAGAGCAGGGCAAGGTTTCCCGGGGGAAGTGGCATCGGACTGGAGCCTTGAAGGGCAGGTGGGACTTGACAGGGGAGATGAGGAAAGCAGGGGGTGGGCAGAGTAGGATGGTCTGAGGAAACAGCCAGGGGCCAGTTTGGAGGCCACTGGAAGACAGGTGGGTGCAAGGAGGCTTGAGGTGGGGCAGGGGTGTGGAGTGGGCGTGTCTAATCAGACACAGGAGGGAAGACGGGGAGGAGGCTGAAGGCGCAGGGGCGGTGGGGTAGGCAGGAGCGGCTGGGCTGGGAGAGCTGGACTTAATTAGGACAGACACAGGGGCCCACAGGCTGTGCCGGGCGTCGGGAGTCTGGGATTATCCCAGGTTTGTGGGGAGGAGGGAAGGGGCTCAGAGCTCCGGAGGTCTGGGGGTAAGAGGATGCTTCGGGTTGGGCAGCATCTGAACGTGATGCCTCCGGACCATCCAGGTGAGGTGCTCAGGAGGCAGCTGGGCACACGGCGATGAAGCTTAGGAGAGAAACTAGTTGGAGGTAGGTGAAAGTGCCCATAAAAGATGTACCTGGAGAGGTTGGCAATGGAGCTCTGGGGGATGAGCGTTAAGGCATGGAGGGGTTGGGGGCAGGACAGGAGCCAGAGAAGGCACAGAAAGAGAGGAAGCGGGATCTAAGGCAGGCTGGGAATGCCCGAGGAGGCAGATACAAGTTGGAGAAGTAGACAGATGTTGCCACAACCTCTCGTCCCACTTGAAGGGTCTGGGTGAGGCCCTGGCCTGGAACCTCCCACCAGCCCGAGTGACTTCTGTCCTTCATCAGGCATTCCCAACCCCCTGTGACTGGCACTTAGGACTGATGCTGACTTGGGGCTCAGGCCATCATATCTGGGGAGGTCAGAGACCCAGAGTAGAGCAGGAGAGAGCCCTGCGGGTCACCTGTGAGGGGCTAGTAGAGAGGCCATCCCAGCATCCGTTGTAAATGTACACACTGCCGAAGGTGGAGCCATCCTCTGCCCCCGAACCCTCCAGGGGGGCCCCGATGGCCACATCTGTGAACTTATCCTGATTGATATCCCCCACTGTTGCCATGGCAAAACCAAACCGGGCATCAGTGAACCCAGGGTTCCCACTCAGCGTGCGTGCCAAGGAGAAGGAGCCATCCTGTAAAGCAAACAGGCAGCTCAGCCCACAAGACAGGAATGCAGGGTGCCCACCCCATTGCCACCCCAGGAGGCATGCTCACTGGACTTGTTGATTTGGATTCTCTGGCAGGGAGTCTGAGGCTTAGAAAAGGCAAGGGACTTTCCCAAAGTTACTCAATGAGCAAGTGGTAAAGCTGGGGTCCTCCTGCCTTGCAGTTTGGGACCAGAGCCTGCCCCCTGTGCTCCCACGGCTAGGGGCACTGGACTGGCAATTGGGAGGCCTGGGTTCTAGTCTTGGCTCTACCACACACTTGCTATGTAAATATGAGCAAGTTTCAACATCACTGGGCGTCAGCTTCCTCATCTGTAAAGTGGGAGTGACAGCTACCTCCCATAGTTACTGGCGAAACAAGCGAGATCATAGACAAGACTGCTTTGTCAACTGTGGGGCTATTTGGGATGTTTTCACCATCGATATATAAGAGGACAGGGTGGGGAAAGTGAGAAAGTGGGGTATGGGAGGGAGTGGAGCAGCTGCCCCCACCTGGCCGTCATCCACCCCGAGCACCAACCCATCGCTGCCGGGGCCAGGCTGCTTCCAGCCTCCGTCCCCTCTGCACCAGGCTGAGTAGCCACAGCCCCAGCACGCTCGCCAATTTGGAGACCCTCCCACCTGCTCATTCAGACGGTACATATAGACTCTGCCTTCCTGTCCACGAATGTGGTAAAACGGAGCAGCCACCAGCAAGAAGTCCGTGGTTCCATTCATGTTGATGTCCACAGGGCACAGCTCAGAGCCAAAATAGGACCCCAACTACAGCCCAGGAAGGACTCAGTTCAGGGGGAGTGCTGGGAGGCCCCCACTTCCACCCCTCAGCAAGGCTAGACCTCTGCTCCAGCTCCTCCTAGACCACCACATTTGAGTCATTCCAGATCAATCTGTTCGCCAAGGTGCCACAGGAGATTGGCAAGCAGTCCAATCCCCCACACTGGGGAAACCACTGGCAATCAAACATGGACAGCCAGGGCAGAGGCCTGAGTGGTGCCTGAGTCCTGCCCAGGCTGAGCCCCCAACCTCCTGTGTGCCCTGGAGCCCGTCCCTTTCCCTCTGGAGCCTCCAAAACACCCCCGTCTGTAATAATGGGGGGGGTCCCATGGTCCTCCCCCAACAGGTACCTGCTCTCCCTCCAGCACTGGCATGAAGTTGGTGTCTCTGCCCTCCTTCGGGAGCTCAAACACAGCCCCACGCTGGTTGTGCCGTGGCGCCCCAGCCACATAGGAGAGGCCAGAGGCCTTATGCAGCACGGCCACCGAGTAACCTGAGGTAGGGGTGGGATAGTTGTGACGGGGAGCTCCGTTGGGCCACTCCTTTAGCCGCTCCCCGCCCCCACCTTCCCAGCCAGGCGTTTGAAGTGGCCTGGGCAAGAGGACAAAATAGGAGACTATCTTTCTCATCTTTTTAAAAATCAGCATCAGGGAGCACTCCTACTTACCCACTATCACTGGTCACACACTTGTGCCCCACCACACAGCTTTGTTCATCATATATACAGCTTCACTCAAAATACATTCCTTCACACAGCCAGTATATGAGGACCCACGGGAGGGGTGAAGGGTCATCCACCTCTATTATTAATGGTGGTGAGGCCCTGCTTTTTCTAGGCAGCCACCCATGGCCACTCCAAGAATCAGCTACTGGGTAGGCCCTGTCCCCTCCCAGGAGACCCTGATTTTCAGCATCAGGGTCCCTAACCAGGGTCCATCCCTCAGTCCATGTGACCAATCAGGGCCATTCCCAACTAGGAAGCCTAGTGCAGCCTAAAGTGCAGCCTCGATGTCCCTGTCTGGGCCCCGCCCTCACCCAGGTAGCCTTGCTTTCCAGCTTTGGCATCCACCACCGTCTGGTTCAGGAAGCGGCCCTGGCAGCTGTACATGTCGTAGAGCAACGCACCCCCCGACCATTCAAAGGCCCCGACAGCACCAAGCAGCACTTGCCTCTGCAGGGAACAAGGGTTGGAGGACAGCTGAGCAGGAGGGACCTGGGGCCAACCTTGGAGGCCTTAGGTCTACCAGCCAGCACAGTGAACCTTGCTGGGGAAAGGGGGACATTCAATGGCCCATTCCCACCTCCCAGTGATGCAGGAGGAAGGTGAGATGGCAAACACTGGGTTCCTGTCTTGTACCCATGACTCTGTCAGGGGAGCTGTCCCTCCAGGACCAACCACTCCCAGAGCAGAAAGCCGACCTGGGGCCCAGATGAAAAGAAGTACGGTTGAGAAGATAGTGCTCATCTCCTTCTCTCCAGGTTGCCCAGCCTGGGCCTGGCACTCAAGGCGCACCTGGATTGAGTGATGGGTGTAAGCCTGCTTCTATCATGCCCAAGGGCCAGGTGCCAGTATCTCTGGGAACAGTGCCTCCAGTGGGGAGGAGTATGCCACTTGGTTGGCAAGCTGACCCCAGCCAACCCTGTGTTACTAGTCTGCATTAAGGAGAACTGCTCAACCCTTGAGCATACAGGATAAGACGATCTCCCGTAATAAATACGATCTCTATCAGAGATCCAGAGTAGGGCGACCAAGCAGAAGTGTTTTCCTTTATCCTAAAGTGGCTGCTAGGGAGAATCATCACCACAAGAGGGCAGAGCCCTGAACTGAGCCAGGGGGCCCTGAGTCTCTGGATGTCTCTGGTGCCCCTCCTTTACAGCTATCCTGCCTGGTGCTGCCGGCCACATACCTTGTCCAGGATCTGGGCGCTGAACCCAATCTGTGCCAGCTGGTAATGGAGGGCCTCTCCAACCACGCCTGGAAGCCAAGAAGCCCAGTGAGATACTGCTGTGGGCAAGGTGAAGGGATAAACCAAGCCAGGGCAGGGTCCAGCCCGGCCTCCCTCCCAGAGGAGCCAGGTTTGGTGTGATGGGATGAGCACCAGGTTGAGAGTAGAGAGCTGGGTCCTGTTTTAACAGCTACTAGCAGAGGGCTTGGGCAATTCCCTCCCTCTTTCAGGACCTCCGTTTCCTCAAATGGGAGCAGGAAACACACTCCAGTCATCCTTGTTTATTCAGCATCAGGTCAGTTCATCAGCGCTTCATGAAAATCATTTAGGGAAGTGAGGAGGGCTGGGGATACTGTTGCCTTTTTAGAGACAGAACAGCTGGGGCTCAGAGAGGCGACCGGAGTTGCCCAGAATGCCACATAGATAGATGTAGGACAGGGATGAGGGCAGAGTGCAGGGCTCGGGTTTCCTGCTGAATGCCAAGGGGGCAGCCACAGGGAGGCCAGGGCCCCTGGGGCCCTCACCTTCCATGGAAACGATACTTTGCTGCAGTTGGCTCAGCAGTCCATCCAACGCTGCATAGTTGGTCACCTTGAAGACATGGGTCTCATCGGGGTCCGAGGCTATCAGCTTCAGTTCGTCCTCAGCTTTAGACTTATTAAATGCATTTCCCACCTGCATAGAGGCCCCCGGTCAGTGGCTCAGCACCATGAGGGCTGGCTGGCTCTTAAGCCCCAGGACACTCCAGGCCTAGGGAGAAGGCTGAGGCCTGCCCCCAGCCTTCAGGGCCCTCCATCACTTACCTCCTTCTTTCCCTGCTCTGTTTTCCCACACACACACTCTGAGTTCCCATTTTACCAATCTACATGTGTTTTCCTGAACACACCAGGCCCTTCTCAGCTCTACACATACTGTTCCCTCTGCCTGCAAAGCCCTTCCCACCTCCCCTGTGACCTAGGCCAGCTACTCCTATTTGTCCTCCGAGACTCAGTTCAGCACATCTCCTCCAGGAACACCCCCCCCCGATGTCCTTCCTGTGGGGGCCCAGAGTGTCCACTTCTCTCCCCATTACTGCTGGGCAAGTGAGCTGCGACCACGGTGGGAAATGAACCTTCCGTGGGAAGACCCAGTTGTGGGTAGGAGTTGCTCATGGGACATGGGGACTGGGAGGAAAGAAGTTGGTGTTTGTGAACAGAACAGGTTTGGGTATGCTGTTTACAGAAGCTCCTACCAAGAATCCGGTCTCCTCCCCACCCCAAGCTCTACTGGGTCGGGAGGTGTCCCCCGGCTCTTGGCTCTTACCCCAATGGCAAAGCGCTCGACACCTTGCATCTTTGGAGATTTGATGACAGTTGTGAGGTTGAGGGGGTCCTCAAATATTTCCCCATCGGTAAGCACGACCATGACCTTGGATGCCTTTTTTCTGGAGCCGTGGCTTGGGGTGAAGATGTTGTCTCTAAGTAGGGGAGAGTAAAAGAGGAGAAGAACTTTGTCAGAGGGATGGCTGAGCTTGGGGAGATTTTATTCACGGACGTGTTTTATAATTGGAAAGGGTTAAGGAGCCCTCCCAGGGGAGCAAGTGCCCAGCGAGGGGTGGGGTGCTCCCTGTAGCACACAGTAGGGCTGGGTGGAGGTGAGGCTGGAACACAGGTGTTCTTACCCCTCCCTTGCTCTCAGTAGAAAGGTGCTGGTCAGCACAAGTCCCTATTCCTTGTGCATGTGTGGGAATAATAATGACATTAATAACAGTGGCTAATATTTACAAAGCACTTATGTCCTGGGCACTGTTGTAAGTTAACCCATTCAATCCTCACAAAATCCTATAAGGCAAGTGCTATTATTATTCTCGTTTTAAAAGTGAGGAACCAAGCACACAGAGGTTAGGCAGCTTGCCCAAGGTCTCACAAGTACAAACTGGAGCTGGAATGTGGAGCTAGGCAGCCTGGACGCTGAGCCCAGTCCTAGCAGCACTATGCTCTACTGCCACTCATAAGAGGAGTCTTCAGAAGAGTTTTGGGAGGACTGTTCTGGGGTGTCATCCATCAGCCAAGGCTGGATTGAAAGACCTCACGTTCCCCTCTTAGCCAAGGAAGAGCTAGAACCCCGATCCTCTCCTCTTGCTAGTTCTGTCCAGCCACCTCTTCAGGCTTGATGCTGCAGAGCCTCTGGGCAGGGCTGCCAGCCAGCACCCAGTAGGTGCTCAGGTAATTCCTGCTGCCCTCACACTCACAGGACGTGCTGCATGGCAGAGGCTGTCCTGGTGGTATTCCCCAGTTGAGTGATGTTCTGGATTCTGGCAAGGGAGGCTATCACGTCCTGACTGTACCGAAGGTCAAACTCAGTCTGGATCACTTCTCCGTACTGCACCAGGGCAAAGCTACACTGGAAGGGAGGGGCCGAGGGGGCAGGAGGTTGGCAGAGTCTCCATGCCCAAGGCCCTTGAATAGCTCCCCCTAGAAGCAGGGGAGAGAATCCATTCATTCCCCCTTGTCTTGGGCCACAGAAGATGCTAAAGCAGAGGGAAAACTCTAAGCAAGTAGGTATGGAGGAAGGTGTGATAATAACGGCTCCCAGTGAATCGCAGACTTCTTCCTGAATCCATGTCTGTGTAGTCTCTCCATGCTTCATATTGACCATGTGACTTTGGCCAATTGGGGTATAAGCAAATGGGATACAATCAGAGACATGAAAGGTGCTGGTGTACATTGGGTGTCGCCCTCTTGGAATGTTGCAACCATGAAAATGTTGGACTGATGTGCTAGAGACACATGGCCAGACAAGTGAGACCATCTTAGGCCATCCAGTCCCAGTCAAGCAACCAGATACCTGCAGCTGCAAGAAAAGCTTCAGGCAAGATTAGCAGAAGAACCACCCAGCTGAGCCCAGCCCAAATAGCTGACCCACCCACAGTACTGCGGGCAGACCAATGGTGGTTGGTTTGAGGTGGTTTGTGTACAGCAGTAGAGAGCAATCGACTGTAGGAGTCTAGCTCCTAGGGATACCCACCTCAAAGCACTTCGTATAGATGTTCTTTATGATGTTATAGATGAAGTCTTTGGCTTTCTGGAAGTCTGGGGGGTCGATGCTTCCTGAGCCATCCAAGATGATGGCGATCTCAGTGCCTGGGCCAAGACAGGCAACAGGTCGGGAGTGGGCATGGAATTTGGGGTAGGAATGAGGGCAGCACGTCCTGCCCTGTAGGGCACCCGCCCCATTCAAGCCCAGAGGGCTCAGTTCAGGGAGGAAGTCGGTGAAGCTCTCAAGAGTGAAGCCTCAGGGGCAGACAGCCAGGACCTGCTCAGGCTCTGACTCTGTTATGAGTCACTCCATCACTACTGCTTTCTGGACCTCAGCTTCCCTGTCTGTAAGATGGAAGGGGGCAGAGCTGGGACTGGCTAGTAGACTCCAGACTGCTCCCCGTCTCCCAGATCTAGGCACACCTCACACCTGGAGGTTGCAAGCCCAGGCGTCAGTTCGGACAGTCTGGGAGCCACCCAGATCCGCCTCTTCTCACCAGCTTCTTCCTCCTCCTCCTCCTCGCCGTCCTCCTCCACATTCAGAGCCCGGCGCCACCTGGCCATATTCTCTGTGCTGCCTTTTATGTTCCTGTGGCAGTCCCCTGCTTCCGCGTGTGCCTCAGGTTCCAGGAGGTTTTCTTTAAAAACACATATGGAAGAGCTCAGAGTCAGACAGCCTCCTTGTTCACCTCCAGGCAAGCCCACACTCAGCTCTGCCCTGATTCCCTTCACAGGGGACCTAGGCCTGCCTTGCCCTCTTTGGGCCTCTGGGTCCCCTTGCATCTGCAGTGAGCTGGCGTCTCTCCTTGGAGACCCAAGGAGGCCTCTGTAGAGCTGTCCAAAGCCAGTGAGTATCCAATCCTTACCAACATTGACGAAGGAGATGTTGACCTGGGGATGGAGGTCGGGGGCCAGCAGGCTGCAGGTCCCCGTGAGTTGTGAGCTGAGGCTATTGGGCCTCCGGGACACCATTTGAATGCAGATCTGAAGTAAGGGGGAGAAATGGAGGGGAGAAGCCGGGGTCACCCCCAGCCCAGGCCCTCTAGTCACAGCCACCCAGAACCAAGAGCCTCAGCGAGGCAGGGGGTGCAGGAGCAGCTTGCTCTCCCCTCACCAGGGGTAGGGGTCAGTGCCGGGGTCAGGGCTGAGGCTAGCACCCGACTCAGTGCGCTGAGTCACACGGAGTACCCCAGTCAGGGCCATGGTAAGCCCTGGAGTTGTAACCAGAGAGACAGCTGGGCTCAGCCCTGAGAATAACATGCCATCAGGACTGGTATGAACGCTGGTTCGCCACAGGGCAGCTCAAACCTCCCCAAGGCCCTCCAGTCTCCTGCCCTGTGCATACTCACCAAGACACCATGGTGGCTCCGGACAACTGTCACTCCCCGGTGCCTCCCCTTTGGGATGGGGACATGCTCTGAAACAGTTAAGCCCAGGTAAGGAGGGAGGGATGCAGGGAGGTAACATGGAGCCAAGGTCAGAGGGCATAGGGCCTTGGGGTGGGGTGGGGGGCTTCAAGCACAAGCACAGGCCTGGACACAGCCAGGGTAAAGTGCCTATCCCCCAGGCTCATGCTCCAACTCATTCAACACATGCTCCGTGATGTCTGCTCTGTGCCAGCCTCCCGCCAGATGGTGATGGGGACCTAGAAATAGCTGAGGTCTGGTGCTTTTCCTCCAGGGGCTCCCAGTCTGGTGGGGCAGGCGGGTAGAGAAGCACTAGCTTGTGGGTGCTGGGGAGCTGTGCAAGATTCTGAGGGGCTGGCTCTATGCACCGATGAACCCTCCAGTCTCAAAGAGCCGCCTCTGGGGAATCCTACTGCCCCACAACCCCGGGGCAGACACCAGAGCCCCCTCCTCTCCTCTCCATTCCCAAGGCGGGCCTCAGGAGATGGTCTCATTTGTGAGCCACCGGATCACCCAGGCGCCCTGCTGGACCGTGTCCTCCTCTGAGACTGTTCAACACAGTGTCTCTCACAGAGACAAGGGCTCTGCCTTAACACAGCCGAGAGGTGGTCAGCAAATGTGTGCCTTGAGTTGGATTAGGTGGGATGGGTAGAGTTTGGTTAATAAGTGAATTTGATTCATTCATTCATTCATTCATTCATTCATTCATTCATTCATTCAAACAGCATTTATTGAGTACCAGGTCCCATGCTAGACATTAGGGTGGCCACAGTCAGATTGGGACGGTAGGATTGGATTCCACTGAGGTGTGATGTGTTGGGACAGGTTAGGTTTTGGAATCAGGTGAAGCTGTGTTTGAGTCTGTGGTGCTGCCGACACTAGACGTGTGACCTCAGTCATATTGGCAACCAAGGGACTTCTCTGAACTATAGGTTCCTCTTCTGTAAAATGGTGTGGTTTTGAGGATTAAAAGTGAATGAAGAAACCCTTAGCATGGTGAGCACTCAATACATTTTAGGCATTGTTTTCGTTGTTAGGATTGGGCCAGGAAAGGTGGGCTGGGGCTTAGGGTTGGGTTGGGATGGGACTGGGCTTCGGGGTAGAAGGTGGTGTCTGGTGGTAGAGTCTAGCGGGGAGGGACTGGATTAGGTGGGGCTGGGGTTGGAATGGTTTGGGCTGGATGAGTGGGATTCCTAGACAGGAGGGCCTGGAGGCATTCCTTGGAGCTAGGCCTGACTTACCCACTGGTTGGCAATGGATCTCATCCTGTCTGAGGTAACATTGATGCAGGGGCTCTGCTGCCCTGTTGGTTCTAGGGCTGGTGACCAGGATCCTGAGTGGGAGGATACGCAACAAAGTTGAGCCAGCTGATGATTTCCTTTTCCTCCCTGCCTGCCCAGGCACTGTCTTCCCGTTCCAGGCCCACAGGCTGACAGGCGCCTTGTCTGGAAAACTATGGGGAAGGCCCAGACCTAGGGAAGAAAGGCAGGCAGACTCCCATCCCAGGACGACAGACTCTGCATTACACAGAAAGCCTTTACTCAACCTCTCCCTTTGCACAGCTCCAGGCGGGAATGGTTAAATGCATCCCCTCCTGCCTGCTGGCCCACGCTGACAGAGATGAGGTGGTATGTTGGTAAATAAAGATTGCTCTTTGGTGGCAGTCGGGGGAGCCATGAAGCTACCAGCAGCACAGTTGGTTATGTTGGGGGGCAGTGCTGGCTTCCTAATGGCTGCCAGAGGGTGGGAGCACCTGCCCCAGGTGGCCTCGGTGACAGTACTGTCTGAGAAGAGCATGCTGATACCCCTATCCTATGAGTCAGTGAGAACTGGAGGTGTGGGGGGTGGGTGCTTCAACCTGATTAAAGCAGTCTCAGGAGATGTGACGCCCACCCCCAGCCCAGGGAGGCAATGTCACCCTCAACCTTCTCAGTTCCCATACAGCCCAGGGAGGACTGGGCTGCTGAGATGGGGAGTGGGCACCCCATCCTAGGGTGGTGAAGAGGGGGTACTGGGGAAGGTATCCTGAGGCTGGGCGTGGTAACAGTAAACCAAATCCAAGGTTTTTATGCCGAGGGCAGCAGGAAGCCACGGAGGACTTTATAAAAGGGAAGCACATGATTAGTCTGTGATTTTGAAAGGTCATCACGTGGCTATGGTGGGTTGAAGGGGCAGGAATGAGGTACTGTCTACACTTCCTCACCTCCCATCATTCTATATCTTTTAAAATTATGAAATACAGTCTTCACTTATTGCCATGCTATGCAGAATAATAATGTCTACATCTCTGTGTGTGACACCTGCCCCTCCCCCCCCCAGCTTAACCCACCCCAAGCTGACTTCCACCCAAGGTCACCAGTGGTCCCCATGTTGCCAAACGCAATGAATGCCTTTCTATCCTCATCTTCCTCCACCCTCAGCAGCCCTGGACGTAAGTGACCACCTCCTCCTTGAAACACTTTCTTCTTGATTTCCTCCTACCTCTCTCATTACTCCTCAGACTCCTTTCTTGGGTTCTTCACTATCTCACTATCTCACTAGAATCCTCGGGCTCGGTCCTTGTTTTCCTATCCAGCACACTCTCCCGAGTGGTCCCCTCCAATCTCACGGCTCTAATCCACCTATAAATGCTGAGATTCCCACCTTTTCCTCTGTGGCCCTAGCATCGCTCCACCAGAAGCCAGACCAGCCTCACTGTAGAAAGCAGAATAATGCCCTCCCCCACACACACACCACGACCAGAGACATCTGTGTCTTAATCTCTGGAAGCTGTGACTATGCTACTTTTCATGACCGAAGTGATTTTGTGGGCTTAAGTTAAGGATCTTGATATGTGGGAGATTATCCTGGATTATTGGGTGGGCCGAATGGAATCACATGGGTCCTTATAAGAGGGAAACAGGAGGGTTAGAGTCAGAGAAAGATTTGAAGATGCTACGCTGCTGGCTTTAGAGATGGAGGAAGGGGCCCTGAGCCAAGGAACGCTGGCGGCCTCTAGAAGCTGAAAAAGGCCAGGAAATGGGCTCTCCCCTAGAGCCTCCAGAAGGAACACAGCCCTGCTGACACTGATGTTAGCCCAGTGAGACCCATTTTGGAGACTTCTGACCTCCAGAACTATAAGGTAATACATTTGTACTGCTTTGAACCTCTAAATGTGCGATAATTTATTACAGCAGCAATAGGAAACTAATACAATAACCATTGCCTAATAGGCATCTCAAACTTGGAACATCCAAAGCAGAACTTACGGTTTTGCCTTCCCAAGCCTGCCACTTTCCGTCTCCCCCGAGCAATACATGACACCACCACCTACTACATTCTACAGCCTGGAGCCTGGGGGCATCCTCACTTCACCTCTTCACTCATCCTCTACGTCAAACCCATCCAGAAACCCTGTTGGTTCTCCCTCCATGTTATATCTAGAGAGCATTTCTTTTCTCCTTTCCCCGCCACCATCCTGGCCACCATCATCTTGCCTGGTCTAGGGTAATAGCATCCTAACTGCTATTTTCTTTTGTTTTCTGAGTTTACTCTTATAATTTACACCATGTCACTCCCCTGCTCAGTAGCCTCCTGTGCACTTAGAAAAATAGTCCATGCCCCTTGCTGCCTCCAAGACCTCTCCTCCCATTCCTCCGCTCTCCAGCCCCAGCTCTACACTGGCTGGCTTCTGCTTAGGCTGCCCCCAGCTCTTTCCCACCTCAGGCCCTCTGCCTTGCTGTGCCCTCTGCCTGAAACCCTCACCTCCCACTCCCCAAGCCTGGCTCATTCTCATTTCTCAGCCTTCACGATCACCTCCTCATAAATGCTTTCTCCAACCAGCTCCACCTCACAACCCAGTTCCTCTGCTTCAAATCACCACGTTATATTTCCTTCTCAGAACTTGTCACATCTGGTAGTATCCTGTTTACGTGTTTACATGCTTATTATCTGTCTCACCCCCCCCCACCCCACCCAAGACTGTAAGTTCCCCCAAGGATCTTGTCTAACTCATTGGAGGGCCTGGAACAGTGCCTGGCACAGAGTCGGGGCTCAGCAAATATTTGTTGGATGACGACTAAATGACAGCCCAGGCAGCAGCTGAGGAGACTAATCTAGGGCAAGGCTGGAGGGTGGAGAGTGGGTGCCGCTGAGCTCTGCGGGCTCTGCAGCTGAGCCCCCAAATTAGGTCACCTGTTCAAGACAACCCTGCCTGTCTCCCCAGACCCCTTCCCAGCCTAAGCCTCAGTCCTGGCCCCAGCACCTCATTCCCTTACTCCCCATGTGCTGAGCTCAGAACTGGGCTCTGCCCCAGACCACGTTTTGGTGGGGTAACTGCAGGCCTGGAATAGCCTTCACCCTTCTTCCTCCTTCAGGCCTTCACCCAAGCTGTTTCCTTTGCTTTCAAAGCCTTTCCCTTCAGTTTTCTGCAGAACAGTCATCCCAAACACCAGCTCTTCAGGAAGGCTTCCCAAAAGAAGGAGCAACTTGACCCCTCCAGGTAGCCCCGACTACTGGAACCCACCTCCATCCCTAGCCTTTGCTCCCACGTAGACTGTGAGTTCCCCAAAGCCTCCATGTACAGCTGTGTAGGCTGTGCACTGCAAAACCCAAGGTTACCATTTATATCACAGTCATACAATGCCACGGCCTGGGGCCCAGTCTAAGTTGCCTCTGCTTTCCATCTTTCTACCACCCTCCCCATGATGGGTGGGCTCTTAATGTCCACGTTTGTTGACTGAGTGACGATAAACTAAACAATAACTGAACCTACCATCAGCTGGCAGCCCTGGGGACCCTATTACACCCTGAACTGTGTGCAGCCCATCTGATTGCTTCACCCACCTCTAACCTGTCTCTGTTCTCAGTCTATTCCTATACACCCTGGAGGAAGGCCTTCCTTATGTCCACTCCATTCCCCCTGCAGCAGCCAAGCCCATGATGCTGCCAGCTCTGGCTGCTATATTTTAGGGAGAAACATCATGAGGGGGTGAGAGGGACACGTCATCCCCACATGGGGAGGCTGCTTCTCTCTATGTGGCCGGGTGGCCAGCAGTGCATTTCCTGTCCCAGGCAGCAGGTCGTGGTCTCATGCTCCACCATTTGTGGCAGGAACCCATAAGTGCCTCCCACCACATCCTCCCATGAGCCCCCCTCTGCTTCAGCAGGTGTTCAGAGAGGTTTTCAAGAGCCCAGCGGGGCTCCTCCCCCCACCCCTCGGTGGGCTCAGAGCCTTCTGCTCCAGGGGCTTCAAACTGTCCTCACAACCCTGGCCTTTGGGCTCGGCTTCTGAGGGAAGGGGAGGTCTTCAAGTCTGTTGGGCCTGGAGCTGGGGAGCGGCTGAGCAGGAGATGGTCGCAAATAATCCAGACTGAAACCCAGCCTTCACGAACGTGAACACATGTGGAGCAATCAGAATGCCTATGCGCTTCAAAGTTTGAAAAAACGGAATGCTAAGCCAGTGCATAGGCCGTGAGCCAGCAGTCCCACTGCTAGGCACACGCCTGATAGAGGGAAGTGCACTGGTCCACCAAAAGGAAGTGACGGCCGTGCTATTCATAAGAGCCCAAGGAAACTGCCCCAACACCATCATCGGCACCATTCACACGATAGAAAACTCTGGCAACAAAAATGAGCATCGTTGCTTCAGGCAACACCATGGGCGAAATGAACAAACTGTATGTTCAGGGAAAGAAGCCTAACATAATAGTGCACCTACTTACTGTTTGCCTCGTTTATAGTAAGTTTGAGAACAGGCAAAACTAATCCATGGAGATGGCAGTTGAAGCAGTGGTTGACTTGGCAGGGAACATGCTAGGCTGGGAGCGTGTGGGCTAGAGGGACTCACGGGCAGCAGGTGATGTCCTGCTCTGGATCTGGACGCCGCTTACATAGGTGACTCACTCTGTGAACATTCACTGAGCTACATGCTTATGATACGTGCATTTTTTTGGTAAGGCATATGTCAATAAAATGTTACCAGCACAAAAGAAAACACAACAAACACTGACCTTTCATTTAAACTCCTGCAGCCCCAAACTTCCTAAAACCTCATCACCACCAACCCCACCTTGTCAAAGCTTCCTGGCTCTGCAAGTCCCCTGTGCCTGGTGACAGGCGCTGCCCAACTCCTGCATCGTATTTCTCATCCAGCTTGGCTGCAGCCACCGACATTGTCTCGGTCCCTTGACCTTGCTCAGGCCAGTTCCAAGCTGTTTTCGGCCAGGCTTCCCCCTCCCATGCCTCCTTACACTAATTCCTACTCATCCCCCAAGTCCCAGGGTTGACGCACATCCTCTGGCTGAAGGGCACACCTGCCTGTATCTCCCCAAAGTGCCCTGGAGGTGTCCACCAGAGCTGTTATCACTCCTCCTGTCATCGCCTGAAGTGTCTGTTTCCCTCGTGAGCCTGGGAGCTCCGTGAGGACAAGGAGAGCGTCTCCTTCACTGTCTTATCCCCCAGGCTTCGTCTGGCACTGAGTAGATGCTCTAGGAGTTCTTGCTGAATGAATGAATCAATGAATCAATGTATGAGCCCTGCCCTTACCACTGTAATCTAATGGTTACCAGCCTCTTCACTGTACAGATGAGGAAACCACAACCATCAAGGGTCCAAGCCTGCTTGGCTGGCGGCGTCCCGGCCTAAGTCCCAGGGCTAGAAGGCTGCTGCTTCAGCAGCTGCCATTGCCCACCCACCCTCCACCCAACAGAGCTCCCGGCCTGCTCAGCTCGTGGAGACATGGAGCTCCACTCAGCCAGGAACCCTGAGTGCCTCCCCTGGCTCTGCCCCAAAGCCTGTCTGGATCCTGGGCTCACGGCGCAGGCGTGCTGGGTGTGAAGGAAACCCTTGATCCTTGACCCCTGACCCAAAACAAAGCAGCAGGAGTGGGGTGAGGGCAGGCAGGGAACCGGCCTGGGGCAGGGCCGGGGCATGGCTGGGTGTAGAGCAGGCACAGGAAAAGCCCGGTGACCATCATGAACAAAACAGGAAGGGAAGGACTGCTCCAGCTTAAACGAGACTAAAGAGACACAGCAACGATACATGACACAGGAACCCTTGACTGGCTCGGGCCTGGCTTCAAAACAAAGTAGCTCTAAAAGTCATTTTGGCGACAGCAGGGGAAACAACTAAAGACATGCTTGTGCATCAGCACACCACCGCTGTCCCCATGTGACAGAGCAAACATTTTACTTGCTTGCTTGTTGTCTGTCTCCCCTGAGTACAAAGACTTGAGTCTGCTTTGCTCGTTCCTGTATCCTCGGGGCCTGGCCCACAGGTACATGCTCCACATAATCATTTGTTGAGTGAACGACCGTTGTAAACATAATTCTACAACCTATCATTTTCCCTTACAATGTGTTTCGAGGCTGATGGAGGCTAATAACCACTGCTCTCATCTCATTCATTTTACCTGCTTTAAGGGTTGCACCGTCTGATTCACAGCCTACGTCTTCTGTTTCAGGCATGATGTGCATTTCCAGTCTTTCTTTATTCCAAGCAGGGCTACCATCAATGTTTTGACCTGAGAATTTCTCTAGGGTTGGTACCCGGGAGTGGAATTACTCAGTCCTCGGCCACGTGCACCTTCGACTTTACCAAATGTGGCAAAACTGTTCTCTAAGGTGGTCACACCAATTTACGTTCTCGCAAGTTCCTGTTTCACCACATCCTTCCCAGCAGAATGTTGTCAGATTTAACAATGTTGTTTTTTTTCTTATCTAATAGGTGAGTACAGATGATATTTTAAAAACATAAGATAATGTTACTGAGCTTTAATTTGGCCAGAGACGGTGCTAAACCCTTTATGTGCCTGAACTTGCGTAGCCTTGGCAGCAATGCTGTGAGGTAGGTACATCCCCACCGTGTCGTAGAGATGAGAAGCGAGGCTAAGGGGCGAGCGCCTCGCTACAAACACAGAGTGAAACTGTCACTGAGCCCTGAGACCAGACCCACAGCCTGCCTCTTAGCCACCCCTCCCTCCTGCCTCATATTTTCCACTGGGGTGATGGAAATATCTTATATCTTATAGTTTTGGTCACTGTCCAAAATTTCTACACTGAGCATGTGCTACTTTTGTAAGAGATAAAAAAGGTTTAATAAACTTAATTTAAAAATAGTTTCGAAGTCCACCTATCCCCAGCCCAGCAGTGCAGACAGAGGCCAGGTGAGGAGAGAGGCTGGGGCGACTTGGCCTGGGGCTCACAGCCTCTCTCCCGCCGTCTCCCTCTATCCTGCATGCCCTTTGAAAAGTGCAGGGAGGTTCTCCCCAGACTGTGGGGGGTGGGGTACCAAGGACTTCTCTGGGGCCTTCTCAGGCTCCCCTGAGACCCTCTCAGTCCTCAGGCCTCCCACCTGCCGGGCTCCACTCACCAGGTCTCGTTGGTTTGGGGGTTTTGGTGCAGAAGGGAGCTGAGCACATAAGGCCCGCCTTCCTTGGCAGTTACCCAGGTCCGGTCCACATCCACATTGAAGGCCACCAGGGGAGCCAGGCCTGTGGGGAAAAGAGGAATGCTTAACAAAAGAGGCACCTGTCAAGGCCATGGCTGCATCTTTACCCCCATTATTCCATCAAATCCTGTGATGTCGACTTTCCCATTGTACAGATGAGAAGAGCGAGGCTCCCAAGGATCTTTTCCCCATGGGAACAGGACTTGAACTCAGGTGTGTTTGACCTAGCGCCCCTGATCCTCCTATTAAACCTAGCTGTGTCAACACCAAGGCCCCTTCTGCAGGAGGCCTTCCCTGGCTCTGCCCCCAGACACTTTTCGCCTTCTCGCACTACCCACTGTACCTGTCCTATAGCATATACTCATCACTGTGTCTTTGTACCAAAGTTAAACTAGACTGTGAGCCCCAGGGTGAGGGTCTGCATACCTTCAGACTATGTACCCCCATCAAGTGACCCAAGGAAAAGCATCTGTCCTCAGAAATACCTGCACGAGAATGTTTACAGCAGCTTTATTTATAGTAGTCCCAAACGGGAAACCCAAATGTCCATCAAGTGGGAAGGGATAAACTAACTGCGGTATCTTCATACAATACAGTACTGCTCAGGAGTGAAAAGGAATGGACAACTGACACACACAGCAATATGGGGGAGTCACAACATCATTGTGCTGAGTGAAAGAAGCCTTACGTAAGAGTCTCTACTGTACAATTTCATTTCTAGCATGTTCTAGGACCAGCAAAACTAATCTCTAGGAAAAAATATTGCCTGGGGCGAGGGAGAAGGCAGGTTAATTGGGATCGCACAGGAAGAAACTTTCTGGAGTGATGGGAACTTTCTGGGGTGTCTTATAGGAATTTGGATTATAAAGGTATGCGCATTTGTCAAAAATACATGGAACGGTCCACTTAAAAATGTGTGCATTTCACTGTATTTTACCTTAAAAAAAGAACTGTATGCAAATACTGAACTCTAGTGGATCTGTATACTAAAATGTTTAGGAGTGCAGCATAATGATGTCTGCAATTTACTTTGAAATGCAACAAAATATAATGGCTTGGGCCGGCTGACTGGTGCATTGGTTAAGAGCTGGCTTGGGACGCCAGAGGGCCCCGGTTCGAACCCTACATATGAGGGCCAGTGACACTGCCCTCTACAGCTAAGATGCTGAAAAACAGCTCAACCTGGAGCTGGGTTGCAGTGAGTCGCTGGTGATGGCATAGGCTGCAGCCCCTGTGGCAGTGGGTTGCCATGGGCTACCATGTGTAGCCAGCAGCCGCAGTGAGCGGCCGTCCAGAAGCCGGCGAGTGATCTGCCTTGCCCGGGAAGAGCACAATGATGGTGCCAACTTGGGCCAGTGAAGCAACATCTTCCACAACTAGACTGAAGAACAAAAAGACAGCAGCTTGTCTGTTCCCCTTCCCCCAATTCCCCAGCGCTGTTCCCATCCCCCAGTTCCCCAATAAAAATCTTTAAAAATAATAATAAATAAATAAAATGGCTTGATGGATGAATAGATGGATATATATGGACGGAGATGATAGATATGGGTGGGTCTATATACATATATATTTATCTATAATAAAATGTAAATACATAAAATATCAATATATATGTGTGATAACACAAATACAACAAAAAGTTGACAATTGTAAAATCTCAGGGTGGTATGTGGTTGTTCATTGTACAATTTTTTTCAACTCTTCTGTATGTTTGAAATTTTTCATTAAAAAATTTGGGGGTAACACTGGTATCGCCAGATTGCCCCTCAAAGAGGCAGAATAGGAGAAGGCCTATTTCCTCACAGCAGTCCTTGAGCTGATTGCATGCAGACATTTTCACTCTGGTTTTTTTTTTTTAATTTTTAATTGGGGAACAGCCATGATCATTGGTTACACATTGCTTTCATGCTACAATGGCATAGTTGACTGTTTTAAAGAGGGCACAGCTCACAGTGGCCCATGTGGGGATTGAACCGGCAACTTTGGTGTCATTAGCACCACACTCTAACCAACTGAGCTATCCGGTCATCCCCCTCACTCTGTGTTATGAGCATCTCATCATTTTGTTCCCAAATATGTTTTAATTATGAATAAGATCAAGCCTCTTATTATAAGTTTGTTCACTGCCTATTCATATACATTATCTACTTGTATGCGGTATTTATTGTTCCCTTATTCATTTGTAAAAGCTTTTTGAAGTCAAAAGAAATTGTCCATGAGTTAGTGTTTCCCACTTAGCTATTTATTTGACTTGCATATGGTATTTTCCCCGACGTCTACATTTTTTATGTAGTCAAATTTTTTTTTCTTTATGACTCTTGAGTTTTGTGTCATGCTTCCTCAGAGATTTTTTTTTAATTCACTCAATATTTTCTCTGATATTGTTTCATTTCTTATGCTTGAATCTTGGATTCACCTAGACTTTGTGTGTATGGAGTGAAATAGCAATCCAGCTTTACTTTTTCTCCCTCCAAATGAAATTGTCTCAACATTATCCTCACAGATTTGAAATACGACCTTTACTATTCTCAGAATTCTCTCACGCACTGGGGCCTCTGTTGGGACTCAGCTCTGCCCCACTGACCTCACCATTTCTTACTCAGACACGTTCATTAGTTTCCTAACCTTTCTCTTCCAAGACTTGTCCCTTTGGATACATCCTCTCCATACCAGCTGCCAGAAAGAATTTTTAAAAGCATGGTCTGACCATGCCACTCCATTACTTAAAACTCGAATGCATATTTACATGGAAAAAGCCAAGGCGAAGTTCAGTCTGCAGACTCGTCTGCTCAATTAACTTTTTACCATAATGGCTCTGAAAAAGCTGTACCACTTTTTAGACAACACTTTTTTTTTTATGATAGTATAATGACTTTTTCATCCCCGAAAACACCAAATAAACATGCCATAACAAATGATATTCTGACATCACACTTTCAGGAAATACACACACTCACCAACTTACCTTAATATAACAGTTTCTAGTCCAACAGTGTCCTGGGGAACAAATCTGCATTGCTTGCCATGTTTGGATAAACCCCAAATGCTTTGTTTTGCACATACATGCCAATTGGGAGGCCCAAAGAGGTACCATCTTCTGTGGTTGTGTAGTCTGTTGAGTGCACAAGCTATTTCCATGTGTTTTGAGGTGCTTTCAGGTTTAGCACTTATTTTGCCCTTGAGGTATTTTTCTGTTCTATAACTCTATTTTTAAAGATAGTTTGAGTGCAAGGTAGTCATGAGTCTCCAGAAGGTTGAAAAACAGTGAAGATATGGTACAGAAATATGTACCTTCTCAATAGTGACTCCCTCATACCCATCCTCCACTACCCACGTTAAGTCTTCATTTCCTCCTTCATTACAATACATTGTATATGTGAACGGTATGTTTATATTAAAATTATTGGCTTTTAATATAAACTTGTTTAATTGATCAATTAATAAATTTCCCATCAGTAAAAATTGTTTGGGCATTGGGTTTGATGGACTGAATCACAATTTTTCCATTGAAATTGATGGAAATATTTTTTCCAATTAATCGCTTTTTACTTAGCAGTAGAGATTTTTAGGAACAAATTAAAGTCATTAAGCAAAGGATAGGTTTATAGACTGTGCTGTATTTTGTATAAGAGAGAGGAAAAAATATATACATACAAATATGTTATTTTTTATTCACCAGGAAGATAAAACAATTTAAAATCTGTAGGTATCCAATAAATCACTTTAAAATGTATATAGCAAAAATTGACTGAATTAAAAAGAAAAATACAAAATCCACAACCAAAGTGGGAGACTTCAATGTTCTAACAAATCTTTCATATTAGCTATATAAAAGCAGACAAAAAAATCAGTAAGGACATAGAAGATCTGTGTGACACAATTAACAAGCTTGATTTAATTGATTAACAGAACACTATACCCAACAATGATAAAAATAAAGTCTTTCAAGTGCACATAAAACATTTACCAAAAGTGACCATATGCAAGCCTCAATACATTTCAATAGCTTGAAATAAATCAGAGTATGTTCTCCGACTCTAGTGGAGTTAAACTAGAAATCCATAACAAAAAAAAAAAACACTAAAAAAAACGTAACTTTTTGGAAATTCAGCAATGCATTTATAAATAACTTAGGGTCAAAGATGAAATCACAATGGAAATTTTAAGCTATTTTAAACTGAATGAGAATTAAGATATGAAAAGCCAAAGCTTGTGGGAAACAGTTCAGTGCTTAGAGGAAATTTATAGCCTTTAATATGTATGTTAAAAAAGACAAAAGGCTAAAATCAATAATCTAAGCTTCTATCTCAAGAAGCTAAAAGAAAAGCCAATCAAACCCAAAGAATGACAGGAAGGAATAAAGATATGAGATTAGTCAATGAAATAGGAAACTAACCCACAGTAGAGATAATCAACAAAGCTAAAGTTTGTTTTTTAAAAAGATTTTAAAAACTGATAAACTCCTAGCAAACTGATTGAGAGAAAGAGAGAGAGAGAACACACAAATTATCAATATTAATGAAAAAGAGGACATAAGAATATTTCCTAAGACATTTAAGAAATAAGAGGACAGAATATACAACTTTTTGCCAATAAGCTGACAATTTAATTGACATTGACAGATTCCTTGAAATAAAAATTTACCAAACTTGACAAAAGAACTATAACCTGAATAATCCCATATAAAATAAATTGAATCCATTATTAAAACCTTAGGAAGAACTCCAGGCCCAGATGGCCTCACTGGTGTACTCTTCCAAACATTTGAAGAAGAAATACCAATCTTACAAAAGCTATTCCAAAGAATAGAAAATTAGACAACACTTTCCAATAATTTTATGAGGCCAGCATAACATTGATATTAAAACCCAACGAGAGTAACACTTGAAAGGAACAGTGATGCTCTCTCTCTTGAACACAGATGCAAAAATCCTAAACAATATATTAACAAATCAAATCCAGGGATATATAAAAGCATAATACATCACAACCAAGTGGACTTTATTTTAGGAGTGCAATGGTGGTTTAACATTTGAAAATAAT